CTACAGTATAAAACTATATAAATTTCCATAGAATGAATCTTTAAAGAGTTCAAGATTTTTCGGAAATTGAAAAAAAAACAGGTTTGAAACTTAACTACACCTTTTTTTACAAGTACAGAATTCGAAGAAATCGTAATTTTCTACTAATTGAGTCAAAGAAGGAATATGTTTATGCATGTTTTCTATAAAATAGGTCTTAATTTATAGGGGGACTTGAAAATCAATGAGAAAAAGCATGCCACTTAAGTAGCAGTAGTAGACGGCCAAGAAGAAACTGGTTCAAACACCAACATCCTGAAATTACTGAAACAGTTAAGGCTTAAGTTGTACGCTTACCAATGTTACAACTCTACTTCAGTAATATTTCCAGTTAAAAACACATTTTATAACTTCGATTATAATTTAATGACATGGAATGTCGAAGTTATGATGTCGACAAAACGAAACTTTTCCCGAATCAGAAGTTAGGGAAACAGAGTAGGTTATACCAAGTTTATACCTCGAGAAAAGAGCTTTACAAATATCTCTGCCAAGTGCTAGCAACCAGCTGTGTTGGGAAGCCTTAACTCTAGGACTTGTCCTTTGTTGCCTATAGCCAATCAAGTGAAAACACACCTCAAGCAGCGAGTTGACTGGGAGCGTGAGATGGACAGGACAACGCGGATCTCTAACAGCAGTTGACAAAGAGTGGGCGGGGCAGCTTGTCACACGCGAGTATTCAAGGTTTGGCAAACGAAGACAATATGGATAGTATTGCCGGCAAACACAAGGGAGACTGGAATAACCATTTCTGGCTTATTAGCCGCCGTCAGCCAGTCATACCTTACCCCAAGTGGTGCACCACCCGAGGCTCGAACGCATGACCTGTTTGGCCAGAGTCTAACGCTCTCACCATTGAGCAACGAGCTTGTTGTCTTGCCGGTTTACGTCGGAAGCTATTGACGAGCTCGCTGATGAACGTTCACCAACCGCTAACGGCACTCACTTGTCCCGCTCTGCCTTGGGTCTCATTTCTCGGCCCCTGAGAGCAGCCGCACCGCGGCTAGTAGTCTAGGCAGAAAGCATTGCCAGCAAAGACAAGGAAGATGCCAGTGGCTATTTCTGGCTTATGAGCCGTCGTCAGCCAGCCACCACCACCAGAGGTGAGTCAGTGCAGTGGTGTTGAGCGCGGACTGCCACCGGAGCACCTACTGTATAACGTGAAGTGCGTAGAGGATGAACCGGTCGTTTAAGGCGGATAGACAATAATACTGACTGAGAATTCAGACAGATAGCATATTCCCCCTCAACGAAACACTTCCTCCTCCTTTTCTTCGTCGTCTTCTTCTGATATTTTCTCTCGGCGGTGTGTTTTATCTACCACCGAATTTATAGGAACTTCGGCTGCGACATTGCTTGCACAAAATTCTTTCTTTTAGGCACATGGAGGAGTTAAGGGAATGGTGTACGGCAGATCAGGCCATGTTCGGATCCTTCTGCCTGATGCCAGCATCCGGGTGATCAACATCACTGATCCTGACAATCCAGAGTACATTAAACATGATGTTACCTCGAGTACGTTTCCAATTTGCCTATGGTTTATCAACTAGACTGGAGCAGTAACCTCCTCAGACTAACGAACTAAAACTACCTACTACAAAAAATTAAAGGCAATCGGTAAAGCAGAAGGCTACTTTTTTTAATCCAGCATATAACACAAGAAGTGAGGGAGGTCATTCTGATTGCTGCAAACATGCTGCATTTCTACACCAATCAGCACACGGGAAGTGATGCTCACGAATGCTTTCCGGTACCTACCAACAGACATCCTAAAGAACGTTTACGAAATGGGTCCTTCAGAGACCGAATACTCTCGAACCGTTTTGGGTGATGTTGTGGTACTCTTAGCTGGAGACCTCTTACTTCTGCCTTTGTAATATTCAGTTTGTATACAATTTGGGCCTGCGATAGATGACCTAACGTATGCAAAATGCAGAAATTTGCAAATGATTGATAATCATTCGCAAACCGGCATCAACGTATGTACCAAAACTTTGAAACCATAATGAGCAAACTCAAGCGAATTTAAAACTTAACAGAGACGTAGAATGTACTATTACTTCGCTTGGTAATATTCATTTTTTCAAAGAGCCTCAAATACTGAAATCATTAAAATTCGTTTTAACTATGAACAATACATGTAAATCGAATTTTCAGGTGAAATCGTAAAAATACAGTTTTGTGTATATTAACTGAGCTTCCTTTTTGTCATGTGGATCCGTGGTGTTGGGTTACACTTAGTTTCAGGTCGTTTCATGTTTCCTCAGACTTGCACTCTTAAGGATATTAAAGGGTCCTTCATAGCTTAGAGGTGCAAAATGGAGATTGTACAGCTCCAACGCAGATGACTCCGAACTCTTGACTCGATCTATCCAGAAATATATTCAAAAGTACAAAAGTAGACTCCTAACGATAGTCCAAAATTAGTAGCAATACTCCTAACTTTGGACGATGCGTTGTCTCGGTTTTAGTTTGTCAGATGACCGCGTTGGGGCTGTCGATGCCCACATTTGAATTTTTCGAGAGAACCTGAACATTGCGGTTTACTTCTGTTTAAAGGAAGGACGGGGCTTTCTCGTGAGGCCGCTTTTGCCTGTGATTAATAATGGTAAAACTACCTCAATCTTTACAGTAGTTCGAATTTCCGCCTACGGAAACACTTCATTGATTATTCTAATCAATAGGAGTTGTTCAAATATTGTTATTGGCTTATAGGCATCCTTTGCTAACCAATAGAGTTTATGTTGGTCGATTTTATTCTTTCCGTATGCTATTCACGTCTATGTTTAGTTCAGCAAAACAAGTACAAGGGACTTTAATTTGTTTCCTATTGTGCACTTATAACGCATTAAACACACAGTACCTACGCATTAATAAAGCCTTAAACCTTTAACCACGAGTTCCATAAGATACTTGGACGTGGGAACTTTTGACATTAGGCGGCTTCACAAGTAAAGGCCTTACTGAAGGGGGACATTTTCTTGGATTATGATTTTTTTTACCAGCCTAAAATATGCACCCCGACCAATCGAATTTTTAAACCTTTTTTGTCTTTTTTAGGTTCGGAAGGAGATTATTTCAGACTTCTCGGACCAGGGAAGTACTCGATCGGTGCCACAGAACCCGGATACGAACCCATGTTCACAAACATTACTATTGAGAAGTTGCCTGATGTGAGAGATGGGACATTCGCGGAAGCCCAAAGAGCCGATTTTTTCCTCGTGAAAACTCCCCATGACAGCAGATTTGGTGCTATCAGGCCCTTGTTTGATGATGGAGAAATCGATCTAAAACAACTGGAAACCCTTGTTGATGCTGTTGACAGAGAGAATTCAGTTTATACAGTAAGTTAAAACTCTTCTTTCCTTTGCTCACCTTTTCTTGCAAGAATTATTCAGTTCGGGTTCTGACACGGTGCTCCTCCTGTGCAAATGCCCTTGAGGTTTAAGGACTTCTAGTGGTCTCTGCCACCCGACGCCCTCCATTGCTTTGTCCGGCGTCACTGTTCAAGACCAGCTGCCTCAAGGTCATCCAATACATCAGTCAGTGCTTACAGACGCGCTGACCTGCAGAGACTTGACCTACTTCCACTCGGACACACACACACACACGTGCGTCTAGATTCTCGCGGCTGCCCAAGCACCACTCAAACATCTCCCTTTTCCCCACCCTCGGCCGCCAGACGTCACTTAGGGCCACGGCGATAGACTTGCCATCTTTTTTACTCTGCTTGGACTCTACAGCATACTTCCTTTTTTAATTGCACAGTACACTGAAGTGATTTAGCCTGTGGGAGTCAGCTGGCGATACTTGTGCTCATGTTAGCTTTTGAATAATTTCGCTATAAGAGGGACAGTTGAACCGTTTAAGTTGGATTTCTGAAGATTTAAATGATAAGCAGAGAATTAGACTGTTTGGCCGCGAACCCTTAAAAGGCCTTTAGATTCCGGTTTTATTCGCCTGATTTTGAAACGAATTACCCCTGAGAAACTATATCAAAACAAATTGCTACGTTCACTAAGAGAAGGTGGGTGCAGGGATATTCATTTGTGTGGAGATATGTTAATTATATATCGTAAGGTGCCGACACCAAAGGCGCTGTCGTCCTACGAAAATGGAGAGGGCAAAGGTTTTTTTAAGGAACACTCTGTACTTTACTGAAGTCTACTGTTTAGTTTTAGTACTTTTGGTTTAGTATACAGTTTACTCATTTTGCTGTAGTTTAGCTTAATTTATTTTATTTTACTTTCAGTTTAGTTTTAGTTTTTAGTTTGTTATTTAGTGTTATTTTAGTTAAGATTACTTTTAGTTTAGTGAGCTTACTTAGGTTTACGTTAATTTAGTTAGTTTAGTTTTTTAACCGACATGCGGTTGCGTTTCGGCTTAAAAATGGGGAAAGCCTATCATCCATGTTTTTATTTTAATCTCAAGAATTTGCATCGCTTTGCATAGTTGCGTAATTTGCGGAGTTCTTGTTTCCTATTGGCTGTATTCTTCATTTTAATTAACGTGCGCTTTTGCTTGTCAAACATTGGGTGATTTAAATAATCCTTCCTATTTTTCTACTTTTATTCGCTCTGCCGTAGAACGTCCTTGGACGCGATCTCCACAAGAAAAAACAGTAACTGTTTGTCCTCTTCCCCTTTCCACTGAAGTATACCACGGTATAGGCTGCCTGCGAAATCTGTATTTGAAGTGAACAGAAAGCGACTTGTTCGCCTGGTGTAGCAGAATGCTGAAATTTATGACTGGGCGGGATAAATCAATGCAGTCCAGCAGGTTTGCGAACTGAGAACAGCGCAGCACTTCAGCTCAAAGTAGCACTTAATCGACTGGGCTGCAGGGAGGAATATACACCTTGAAATTGGTATTGCAGCTATTGGTTGGAGCTCTCTGTCTGGGACAAAAGTACACGATGGGACCCCTGGGGCCCTCCTGACCTGGCTTGGACTGTCTGATGAGGGTGACTAGGGCAGAAATGAGTTTTTCAGTCTCTCTCATCTTTGTCAGTATTCCTTCTACAGTAACATCATCCGTAAACCATAGCGACGCCCTTGGCAACTCTTGTTAGCATCTTCTCCAGATCGTAATTGCAGCTGCCATCTCAAGCCGGCATCATGCAGGTGTCTCAGTTTTTCGCAGTTATTGCGGCGTACGCCCCCATACGGGGGTGCCAACTAGGCGCAGAAGCAATCTACTTTCAACGAGATACATAAGGCCCCCAAGCGTGCCCAAATAGGTGTTCTTCTTTCGGCTCCGTCAAACTCAAACACCAGTGTACGCGATAAAGTGCCAGGAAGTTTGCTGTAACGAAAAGGCGAGGCCTTGGCCATTACGCAGGTGCTAACCATATGGCAATATACGAAAAGCTTCCCAACTTCGCTACACTCAAGTCGTAAATCACACCTTCACCTACCTGAGGTCAGCGAGCATAGTGAGCGAATTGGTATTCTAATGACTGAACACATAAACAGATTTTAGATACCAAATTCTTTAAGAATTCCTTATAAGTAACACCGTACTTAATATAACTAATTATTTCGTTGTAGAAAGCCTGTTTTTGTACGTCTTCAGCATTTACCACTCCACTGCTCTCCACACGGAAGTGTTTAGTATGCTGCGGGTACTCCTAGTCTGATTAGTTGTAGTTTAGTTTTTACTCCAATTTGGCTTTACTTTAGTTTTCACTTTGGTTAGTTTAGATTAATCAAGTTAGTTAGTTTAGTAGTTAGTTAGTTAGTTAGTTTAGTAAAATAAAAATGCAACGAAATAAATAGTTATTTATACACAGCAAAGTATGGTGTTGTTTTTAAGGAATCCTTACCCCAGCTTCATTCGATTGCGCCTGGCTCAACACAGTGCTAGCCTGCCTCGTCACCCGTAATCCCGATCCCCACGAGGAAACCGACTCGAAACACACTCTGCTGAGGTACTGAATGACGTATGATGTGTCTCACAAAGGGCAATGCTCGCACCCAATTGCGTTTTAAACTAACACGAAGGTCGTTAGGATTCTTGAGAATTCTTCTGACCAATTTAATTTGTCTCGGCTAACTGACACAGATAACTGTTCCTGAGGCCTTGACGGATCCTCGGATAGAACTGTCCAGAGATTCGGAGTTGATTCAGTCCCAAAACGTACTCAGGAAATGCACCAATTCGAACAATTTGGCAAAGGATACGTCAGAAAAATTAATCAGCTAATGGCAACGTCTGTCTTATTCTGAAACTAAGTCACGGTCCAGTAGTTAAGTGGTAGTCACTGCGCGAGGACGTTATCATTGTAATTGACCGGTACATTTCCGCCCCAAATCGATGGGTTTTATTACCTTGGCGGGCGTACAGTTTGAGAGGCCAATACAACTGTGGTGACGACCTACCATCCGTTGCAAAGATAACTGGTACTGCCAGCAGTCGCCGGTATCGTCTGGTTTGCTACGTGCAATTCCGACTCAAATTTGAGGAAGTAGGCGGACGGCTTCTGCGTGCCGATCACGCACACAGCAATCCAGCCCTGTTTAAAAACTAGCGTTGCTGATGGTGGTTTCGAGTGAGAATCCGAAACGTTAGGCCAATAAATTTCTTGTTCCCGCGATCGAATCTCTCTCTCTCTCTCTCTGAATTGGCGTTGCGTCGGCCGCTAGCTTTCATAGATTTTCGTGGATCGCCCATCTTCCCAATTGTCATCTTCTGGGCTCAAGGACTCCGATCACTCAAATAAATCCATCTACACTCTGTTGTCGACCGTGTGGCCTAACGACATCACACGTGCCTACTTACTGACTGAGGACCGGGAGCGATACTTGAGGGGACGAAG